TGACCAATCCGATCATGCAACTATTTCCCTTGATGAGTATAAACTCACAAGAGATAATGAGAGAAAGCATATCAGACCTCCTGCTAGGTTTGATAGTGATGATTTTGTTTCTTTATTCACTTATCCAGAATAGTTTAAAAATGAGCCAAACTCCTATGAAGATGCTGTTAACTGTAAAGATGCTAAAAACTGGAAAGCTTCCATGGAAAATGAAATGTTTTTCTCATTAAAAATAAAACTTGGGAATTAGTTGACAGGCTTAAAGACTATAAACTAATTTGATTGTAAGTGGATTTACAAGATAAAAGAAGGGGAAGTAAAAATGTTAAATACGTAGCTAGACTTGTTGTTAAAGGGTTTACACAAAAGGAAGGTATGGACTATATTGAAATCTTCTTTCCTATAGTTAAATATACTACTATCAGATGCATTCTTGCTCTTGTTGCTCAATTTAAATGAGAACTTGATTAATTAGAAGTTAAAACTACTTTTCTTTATGGTGATTTAAATGAGAAAATCTACATGAGACAACTTGTTGGTTTTATAGAAAGAGTCTTTGAAAATGTTGTTTGTTTGATAAAGAAATTACTGTATGACTTAAAACAAGCTCCAAGATAGTAGTACAAAATGTTTGACACTTTTATTCTGAAACTAGGGTTTCAAAGAAGCAATTATGATAGTTGTCTCTACTGTAAAAGTAAAGAAAGAAAAAAACTATTTGTATCTAGTGTTTAATATTGATGACATGCTACTTGCTTGCTGTAATAAATCTGAAATTGAGGATATCAAACAAAAACTGAAATCTAAGTTTGAAATGAAGGATTTTGGTTTTGCCAAAAATATTCTTAGTTTGTAGATCTTGAGAAATAAAGAAAAAGATGTGTTCTTTCTGATTCAACATGCCTATGTGATTAAATTTCTGAAAAAGTTTAACATGTTTGATTGTAAACTTGTAACTTTTCCTCTTGTTAATCATTTTAAGATTTCATCTGAATTCTGTCCCAAAATTGATGAGGATTTTGATAGAATGTCTAAAATTTCTTATATTAATGTGATTGAATCTGCTATGTATTTGATGGCATGTGTTAGGTTTTATTGTAATTGGTAAGTCTGTGAACAAAAAAGACTGAAATTAATATGATGTAAAAGTCAATGAGTAAGTTGTAATTTTTATAAGTTGAGTTGTATAGTTTCTAGGGTTCGAGTGTGAAAAGAGGAGAAAAACGAGGCTGCAATTTTGCTAGCTTATTGTCATGTCTTCACTCGAGCGGCAGAAGCAGAAACTTCGTCACTCGCCTATCGTCTTGTCCTCTCTTGAGGGACAATAAGCCCCCGTTCGGGCGACAGTATTATCCATAAAATTTTGTTTAGTGTTTTTAAGGCTTTTTACCCGGCCCATTACAATCCTAAACCTATAGTATAAATACTGACACGCCTCCAAATGAATTTCTCAAGGTTGAACACTGTGAAAAAATTCATATTACTTCCTTCAAGGCATTCAATTTCATTCTTGATTTCTTTGTTGCTTTGCAATCTGATTTTCATACTTAATTCTTTCTTTGCATTTAAAAACATCATCATCTCTTAAACCAAAAACCAAACCATTGCTTCCTAAACATCTATTAGAGTTCTGAAAATTAAGGGAATGTGACTGGAGTTTCACTTGTTGGAGAATGCAGAGTTCTTTGTTGATCCACAAGAGATAGATGAATTCATAAAACCGAAAGTTGATACAGGAGCATGCAATCTAGGAGGGATTTGAAAATTGCAGTCAGGAGTTGGTGTAGGGGCACGCAATCCAGAAGGGCCGTGAAAATTATAGACAGGAGGTCAAAAAGTATTTGTGGTAGTCTTGTTTGACGGATTGTAAGTTTAAATTCGTTTGTAGTGGATTGTTATCGGCTTGAGCCCAGCGTTTTTACCCAGTTGAGGATTTCCTTGTTATCATTTCTTGTGTTATTTACTATTTATCATATAACAGTGGTAGTTCAACATAGGAAAACTGAATTGATTGATTAACAATCTAGAGATAATTAAAAGTAACTTGTTGGTTTTTAATTATCATTTTTAATTCCGCATAATCACATATTTACCCCACATACGTAATTTTAGTATGTACTAGACTTGACTTTGCTCATAGCATTAGCATACTTAGTAGATTTGTGAGTAATCTTGAGGAAGAATATTGATATGCTTTAAAATGGCTTCTAAAATATTTGAAAGGTACTTCTGATTTTGGTCTTGTGTTCAAAATGAGTAAAGGGGGTAACTATAAATGGTTTTACCGATTCTGATTTTGTTGGAGATATGGATAATAGAAAATTAACTTCAGCCTATTACTTTGAGTGGCACTGTAATTAGATGGAATTCTTAACTTTAGAAAATTGTGGCTTTGTCCTCCACTGAAGCAAAATATATTGCTGCTTCTGATGCATGTAAATAAGGTATTTGACTAAGTGGGTTGTTAAATGAACTGAGTTTTGTTGATGAAATTGCAATCTTACTCTATGATAATCAAAGTGTTATACATTTGTCTAAAAATCCTATGTTTAATGATAGGACTAAACACATAAACATTAAATATCATTTTATTAGAGACATTATTTCTAAGGGAATTCTGAAAATTGGTAAAGTTGTTATTCAATTTAATCTTTCAGATATGGGAAAAAAACAATACATTTAAACAAATTTCAAAATTGTTTGAAGTTATTATCTATTAATACTTTGTAATGCATGTACATGTACTTAAAGAAAATGAAAAGGCTGATATTGCTCTTGGCTACACTTTTAATCCCAAGTTTCTGGTAGCAAGGTGGAGATTGTCGATGCTCGAATTGGTGACCTATTATGTGTTTCCAAATTTGGTTAAAGTCGCATCACTAAAACGCAACTCTTTTAGTTGGGGCATTTTTACTGGATTGTGACATGTGTCTTCATCACTGCTCTTCATTCGGCTTCTGAATGGATCTAGACTTCATGAGGAGTGTCGTTTCACTTGGCATTTCACTATTTTTGGCTATTGAGTTCTTTAAGAAAGAAAATATCTTCCTTGGAGCTATGATTTCGATCTATGATTTTCTTTTCACTTGAACTTCTCATTCGAGACTGAGATGTGGTTTTTTAACCTCTGATACTTGTAACATTCTGAGTGACTACTATGAGAATGAGAGGATTTTTATAGTTATATTTTTAGAGAGCTTATATGAAGTTTCTTGGGTGATTGTTCGTAGATTTGCAGTTTTATTGTTTAAAAGATAAGTGTTATGTACTTTTCTCTTGTGTTGGATTGTAATCTTTGTTGCCATTTTGGAATATCTAGTACAACCAAGCGTGTATCCAATTTATAGGATGCTCAATAGGGGATTAGGCATTATAAGTGGTCGTCGAACCTTTGAGGTTTCGACCGGAAAATTCTTTATGTCCAATCTTTCAATTTTTGCGAGTTTACTTTCTATCGAGTTGTGATTATTTTGTATCTTGAGTTTAATATCGTGTTTATTTGGGCTTTCAGTCGTGATTCCTTAACTTGGAAGGAAAAGGAAGTTCCACTATAATCTTTAAAACTATACTTATCCTAGTGAGCCTTTCCATTTGATAGTTAATTCTGGTACGTGTTTAATTGCCATGCCTCTTCCTGCTCCATTAAACGTATGACTTTTTCTTTTTTCTTTTCTTTTTTTGTCATTTTCGATCCTTTATGCTAAGAATAATTAAAATAAGATGTAGAAAAATGAAATTTAAAACTTTTAACCTTTTTTATTATAATATTATATGCGTTACTGAATCTTAGTCGGTTCTTTTTACTTGTTTGAAAATTGTAATCTTGTTCTTTACAATTTTTCTGTTTCTTTATGCTAACCAATTGCCTCTGAAAGTGGAGTTCCATATCGAGAAAGCTTGAAATTGCCATTTTCGTTTGTAATATATTTATGAAAATTTCATGTAGCTATACTTAAAAACTGATATAAATCATAATTCAGTGAATATTTGTATTCTATTGTAATAATCGAAAAGCTTGTTTAAAATTTCTAAAGTGATAAGTACAAAGGATTTATCAAATAATGTTTGACAAGAATAAAGAGGTAGGTACCCAAAGTTAATAAAGCTTTTCAAGACGACAAATCCCTTCAATAAAAGTTAGGTAAGGCATAATTAGAAAAATTGATTATTCTAAAAATATGACGAAAAGAATGAAACATTAATTCTCTCATCACAATCTCACTAGGTGTTAAGTGGGGCGAAATGCTCGTCATCTTGACTCGTCCTACTAACGAGCCGAGCAACAATTTGACGATGCGAACCAAATTGAGAGAAATATGTGATTTCAATGGAAAAAATATATATATATAGTGAATCGACTCGACTTGCACCATTAAGAGGTGAGCTCGTGGATGAGACGAGCTGCACTTTTGTTTACTAGACCGGCTGACGATCGACTTGTTCCATAGACGAGTGGTAATCGACTCACCTCGTTTAACCCCTTTAAACGATTAAACCCCACCCCAGACCCCTACCCATCTTCGTATATTATATATAGACAGAGTAATGATATTCATAGTCGCTCACTGCAGCAGTCGTCCTATGTGACATACATATGACATGTGATTATTTGATGCATTAATGTGGTAGTTTTTTAACCACATTAATGTATTAAATACACACTTGACATATGTGTGTCACATAGGACGACTGCTGCAGTGAGCGACTGCAAATAGCATTATTCATATAGACAGACACGAACAATACGACAAACACACAGAAACAAGTACATACATAATTGCTTAGCAGTTCAAGATTTCAATTTGTATTCATTGCTTCTTTATTATTCTTTAAGCAAAAACAACATACCAACAAATAACCAATCTCTCATCACCTCATCTTCTTCCTTAATCTCTACTACACCTTCTAACCAAATACAGAAAATCCCATCTCAACCACTTCTCCATTCCTCTCTCTCTCTTGATCTCTTGAGAGTTTTTAATAGAAAGAGGGAGGAAGGGATGAACACTAAAGGGTTCTATGTGAGAATGAGGCTTCTGCAAAATAATACTAGACATTACAGAAATGCAGATAAGAGTAATTTTTGCAGCAGATATTTCAAATGGATTCTCTGGTTATCTTTATCCTTTTACTTCTTTAGCTCTTTTCTAATTACCCACAATAAACCTACCAATTCAATTTCAAGAAATACTGTTTCTAAAACCAAACCCTCCCGAGCTCTTGCTGAAGACTTATCCCTTCTCCAACACACCCATAATCCCCAAGGTAAGAAGTTTAACGGTGAAAATCCCCAGTCCATTAAGCTCAAACCAGAATTTAGATGAAGCTTGTCTTTTTGCTAACTTCTTTCTTGATATTCTTTCAGATACATTGAAGGGGATGAAGGTATATGTTTATGATTTACCATCGAAATACAACACTGACTGGCTATCGAACCAGCGTTGCAGCAGCCATTTGTTTGCGTCTGAGGTGGCAATACATAAAATTTTGATGAACAACAACGATATTCGGACATTAGACCCAAGGGAAGCTGACTTTTTCTTTGTCCCTGTTTATGTATCATGCAATTTCAGCACTGTTAATGGCTTCCCTGCAATTGGCCATGCCCGTTCTCTAATTTCTTCTGCTATTCAACTCATTTCCTCTGAACTTCCCTTTTGGAATCGAAGCCGTGGTTCTGATCATGTTTTCGTTGCGTCCCATGATTTTGGTTCTTGCTTTCACACCTTGGTATGCAAAAAAGTTGATTATAAATTTATAAGTACCGCAAAAGGCAGGCTTTTTTTTTTTAAATTATTATCATTAATGAAGTTTTGATGTTATTTGCAGGAGGATGTGGCTGTCGCAGATGGGGTGCCGGAATTTTTGAAGAATTCAATAATATTGCAAACATTTGGAGTGAAGTATAAACACCCATGTCAAGAAGTGGAAAATGTGGTGATTCCGCCGTATGTGTCGCCAGAAAGTGTACAAACCACCCTGAAAAAATCGCCGTTGAACGGCCGGCGTGACATTTTGGCATTCTTCAGGGGTAAAATGGAACTTCATCCCAAGAATGTTAGTGGTCGTTTTTACAGCAAGTAAGAATGTTTTACTCGAACCAACCCTTTTCTTTGATGTTGGCATCTGAAATGACGAGTCTAACCCTGACTTGGTTTTTTTCTTCTTAGGCGGGTGCGGACGGAGATATGGCGGAAGTATGGTAATGACCGGAGGTTTTACTTACAGAGGCAGAGATTTGCCGGTTACCAGACAGAGATTTTAAGATCAACGTTTTGTTTATGTCCATTGGGATGGGCCCCATGGAGTCCCAGAATAGTTGAATCAATTGTTTTAGGCTGTGTGCCGGTAATCATAGCGGATGGCATCCGGTTACCCTTTCCCTCCGCCGTGCCATGGGCGGAGATATCTCTCACGGTGGCGGAGAAGGACGTCGCAAGACTGGGGGATATACTTGGAGACGTGGCAGCCACCAACCTCACTTCCATTCAGAGAAATTTGTGGGAACCAGATGTTAGAAAAGCCCTACTTTTCAATGATCCAATGGTCGAAGGTGATGCGACGTGGCAGATAATGGTAGCCCTATCAGAGAAGCTCAACAGGTCCCACAAAAAGTCAAGGGTTTATGACCAATGAGAATATGAAACGTGCATATGAGCTAACTCAGGAAAGTGGGGCCCAAGAGTCTGAGATTTTGTTGTTTGCCATGTGGGATTTATTTGTGAGTTGGCAAGAATTTATTCGATCGGTTTTGCGGTTTGGTGGGACATAGGTTTCCTGTTGTACACGTGAAGACGAATATTTTTGTTGAAAATAAGATAGATATGAGTGAATATATGAAAATAATTTCATTTTTAATTTGTAATAATTTGTTTGCGTAAGTTAAATTGTATAGTATCATGATACCAAAGAAGTAAATAAAGTTCTAAAATTCCATTGATTACTTAATTTGTTCAATATGATACATATACTCAAATTGGTTTGATCTTTTCAGATCAATTGTAACTACACATCAAAATCTAAAAGTATTATACATTTATTCACTACTTATTTAATTCATTCTATCCAAAAAAAAAAAAAAAAAATCCCAAACGAAGGTTTAAATATGTCCGCGATTTACTAACTTTTAGGAAGGATTACATGTAATATCATCACTGGCGGAGATACAGCCCCCTTTAAAAAAAATTTTTTTTTTTTGGTTATACCCATTGTTTTTCCACCGTTCAAGCCCAGTAGCCCACAGTTGAAAATTTTTGCCCCTCCTCGTACCATTAAATCCTGACTCCACCTCTGAATATCATAGTTATCAGGTTGGACGATTTGGGTTGGCCTTAAAATTACAAAATGAATATGATATTCATATAAAATAAATGGGATCATTAGTTTATATGCTAGTTGGGTCACTGAAACATTGTCAATTTCACTATCATAAAACTGATTATATAAATGAATAACATTACTCTTAGAAAATTAATAGTGAATTATGATAGTGTTATACTACTCGGGATAGTTTCATATACTCAATTTAACAATTGCTTGCTAATTGAATTAGTGATTCATCAAACAATTAGTTTAATTTACGTTCATCTTGAATCACTATGATCAAGAGTTCAAATCTATTGTATTCTTAATTATTCTCGAATAGATTTTTTTAACACCTCGGAAGATACTAAAATACCGCGAGTGATAGTTTCAAAGTGAGAATAAAGGCTTTCACATTTTTTATCAGTGATTTGGAGTGTGTTTGAGTCACATTATTTTGGAATAGTAGATTGATGGAAAATGTGTGATTGAAAAAGAAGGAAAAATTATTGATGTGATGAAAAATATTATTTTATTGAAAAATATATAATTGAAAATGCGTAAAAAATGAGAATGAAAATTTGTTCAAACAGGGACTTGAATGCAAAAAGGAATTTAAGGGAGAGAGTCACAAGGCAGAGAATATATATATATATAATTGCAGGAGATGGGGGGACAAGACATAGAGATGCTACAGGCTGGCAGCTCAGAAATGTTGGGACCCTTTTTATAGTGTAATAGTGAAGGAGTTCAGAACATGGAGTACAGAGGGTCACCCAAAGAAAATTTCTCGTATATGTAAGAGGTAATAAATTAAGGACGTGTTGGGTAGGGATTAAAATCAGATTAAAATTAAAAAATTAATATTTATTGTTGACTTTTATTAGACGAGTGAGACCCAATAACGGATATATTTTCAATTTTAATTGAATTTTAAACCTAACCCAACATGCTCTAAGAAGCAAGTTTTAAAATTTCAAAAATTAGATATTATTAAATAAATAATTAAATATATTAAAGTTACAATTCTATTCAATTTGGTCACAATTTATTGAATTTATTGGTTACAATTTATTTCTCGATCACAAATAAAAAAAAATTATACGTTACAAATTATTTTAAAGTCACAAATAAAAAATTTATATATTACAATTTATTAATCGATTACAAATCAATAAGTCACAATTTGCTTAACGGTGACAAATTATCAAATTAATTAGTCACAACTTGTAAATCACAATCACATTTTTAAGTCACATTTTATTTACTAGTTACAATCAATTAAATACTTAGTCACAAATACCCCACCCACAACACACCACCACTCACAGCACCGCGCCACCACCACACCCAACTACCACAATTACAAAACCAACACACCATCACCACCACTGCAACACATTACCACCACTGAATCGCCAATCAAGGCATTGCTCAAAAATTTAAAAAAGAAAGAAAGAAAAAGAATGGATTTGCACGATGGCCTCTTGTAGTGGTCTTCGACGATAGTCTTCCATGTAACAGAGAGAGAGAGAGAGAGGGTGGATGGGGGCAGCAGCGACGGTGATGGTGCTCTGGTGGTTCTACACACGATGAACCAGCTGTGGTTTTGTCACTGCGAGGCATCGTTGCATCGAGTTGTGTGCAGTAGTGCACCGAGTGGTGCTGTTGGAGCCGTCGAAGAGAGAAGGAAGAAGTGGTTATGATTTGTGGTTTTGAGATTTTTAGGGTTAGGGCGGGTTTGATTTAGAGCGAGAAGATATATAATATTGAATATTATTAATATTCGATTTTTGTATAAACAAATTTTAGATTTGATTTTTGAAATTAAATCTTCAAAAAATTGGTTGGGTGTAATTTCCAAATAACACAAACACAACCTTACAAGAAGGATAGAGCAGCTAGCTTTATCTGATAAAGGGTCAAGACAGAACTCACAAGGATCTTGGTACTATCTTAGAGAGTTAAATAGGACGAATCGAACTTGCTCTTGAACTGTTCACGACTTGTCAATTTTATTTTCTTCTTTTATTGAAATTACTTTTTTCGTCCACTAATGATGACTTGTCAATGAGTGAAGCTTGTTGAATTGAACCATCTTTTAACAAATTAGCTTTTTAGATGAAGGGTTCAACGCGTAAAGTGTAATGCAGATCTTAAGACAATATTAGAGCAAAAAATTATAATTGATATATGCCGTTAAATTAAGGTCGTGATTATTTGTCAAAATTCATCTATAGAAATAACGGTTTCCATTATAATTCTCTTTGATGTTTTATAATTCATACCATTTCATGTTGGGACACGTGCCTATATGTTCGGGTGGTTTTATTTTTATTTTTTTCTATCTTACGGGCCGGGTTTGGATTGAAGTTTTGGCCATGAGACGAAGAGGATCAATAAGTCCATGGACTTCCTTGTAAACCGCATGACTTTCCAATCCATTTTTAATTTTTATTATTATAATTTTAAATGGTGGTCGTAATTATTTAAAAGTACGATTATTAAAAAAAAGTAACTTTATTCGTAAAAAGACAGACAATTTGTTATTTGAAAAATGCTAGAAGTACGCAAAGGTGTAGATAAGAATGTTCATAATGAACACTCGGATTGAATGGAGTATTGGTGGGTCCGACACTCCCTCCAATGGGAGGGAGCCGGGTGTCCATTATGGACACCGTTATATACACCCTTACCCTTACCCTTGTGTTTGTGTACCTGTAGCACATCTCTTGTTATTTTTATGTATGAACCTCGTTTGTCAACCCCCTCCCCCTCCAGTCCACCATTATGCGCCGTCGACGGTTTCTCGGCATGGTTGATTAGGTAAAAAGCGTCGATTTTTCAATTAACAACTCTGTTTTTCATAATTTTACAGTTTTCCCAATTCATTACAATTTTTTAGTTGAAACGCAGTAATCATAGTAGAATCAGATTCCAATTCCAAGTAAACAGCACAAATCTTACGCTATACAAATAATTAGAGAAAAAGAAAAATCCAGATAGCAACACCAATATGGAGAAAGTGATGAATGTTTTGAAGCCGAAACCTAACCCCCAGCAACTACTGAGAGATTGGCAGCGTAAGCTCCGGCAAGAGTGCCGCAACATCGAACGCCAGATCCGAGGTCATATTTTGTTTATTTTTTTGAATTACTTTTTGGGGGTTTTTATTTTTTAAATTTGATTGGCGAATTTTTTGTTTACTGAGATTTTAATTTATTTTTTCTGGTGGGTTTTATTTAGATATACAGAGAGAAGAGAAGGGTGTGCAGAAAGCGATCAAAGAGGCTGCTAAAAGAAATGACATGGGTTCTGCTAAGGTTCTTTGACTATAATTCTGTGTGATCTGAATTTAATTTTTTTTTTATTTAGTTACGATTTATATTTTTGATTTAGTGAGAATCAGTGATCACTTGGTTAACTTGGAATGATTTTGTGCAATTGGATTTCTATTCGAGATATTGATTGAACTTTATTTGGAAGTTATGATTTTTAGGGGTTTTTATGCATCGTAGTTGAAGGATTTGTAAATTGAGGGATAAAAAGGCTTCAACTTTGGTTGTTAGATTACCCATGCATCATGCATCGATCTTTCCCTTTACGCAAAATATGTCCTAGATTTTTTGTACTAAACTTTCCAATCATTATGAGTTAGAAGTGATATTTAAATAATGTGAGTAGAATTGCACACATATAAGCTACCCTACGACAACAAGAATGCAGGCGTGCAGCTAATGGTGTAAGACCATGACAAATTAAAGGAAACGATATGCCCCTACAACTTTAAATTCTACAACAGATCATTAATGTGGAATGGCAGACGTTGGAAATGCATCAGTCCCCAAATAATCGTACAAAGTTATAAAATTTCCAATAGAGAGTTTTCAATTTGATGCATATCATTGAGAAGCATTATTCTTTTGTTGGATTATTGAAAATTGTGACCTTTTGCCCTTTTGATGTTGTCGACCATTTTATTCCATCTGGGTTTAGGTTGAGATTGAATTCTGTTACTCTGTGAATAAATTAACTAGTTGCATATATGTCAAATAAGGAACAAAAATTTGGGCAAGTTCCCAGGTTAACGTGATTTCCACGGCAGCAACAAGAAGAAGTGTTAGTGTCCTCTAAAGAGTTCTTCAAGCTCGAGAGTCACTTTTGTTTATAATCAAAGACAGGAATTATGAGCCACTAGAGCTGTTGGATGCCATTGTTATGTTTTCGGGAATGGAATCTGTTGCACCTAGTTAGACAAAATGGCACCTTGTTGCATATTATTTAAAGAAAGAGAAAAGTCCCTCAGGCCACTGAGGTGAGTACCCGGCCGTAAACTTCAGGGTCCCGTAGAATTAGTTGAGGTGCGCTCAAGCTGGCCCCGACATGAACGGTTATAAAAAAAAAAAAAAAAAATTTAAGAAAGAGAAAAATGGAGACATGTAACTTTTTTTAGAAACTAGTTCTCTAAACACAGCGCTCGTAGCTCATGTACATTTATTCAGATTATAATCACATTCAAATTTCACATGCATTCTTGTTTTGGTTTCCGTGTTAGAATGGTGTACCCAGATAGTATCTTACTAATAATGCACATTCAAGCCTACTGAGAAATTCTTTTTTCTAGTTCATAATTTTATGTTACCTTGTACTCATGTCAGGCACTTGCCAAAGAACTTGTGAGATCTAGAAAAACTGTGAACCGTCTCTATGAAAACAAGGCACAGTTGAATTCTATATCAATGCACCTTGGAGAAAGTGTAGGTATGATCCTGTTTATGCTTTTTGCATGTAGTTCTTCTGACAGAATACTTAATTCTCATTAAGAATCTACTTCTTGTACTTCTTTGAAAGTGTTTGATAACTTGATGCACTTATAGCTTAAATCATTCGTCATGACAGATTTCACTTGCGTGAAACAATGACAAAAATGATTTATCAGACTCCTATAAAATCATTTCTGTGTTCCATGCTACTATAGTGAACATGCTATAAGTTAAACTATGAAGATAATTGACTTCGTTTACATATTTAAAGAAACTGCACCATTTTAAGGATACGAAAATGTTGAAGATGCATGTATTAGTGGTGATTATTTGTACCTAGGTTCATGAGGAACTATAATTGTATCGTAGACATTTGCCTATGTATGAAGATGGACTGTACATTTCATACAAAAAGCAAACTCTTCGTGTCTTCAGAGGAAAGATGTTTTGGCCCACATTTTCACCCTCAGTTTTTTCCCGAGCATCCACTGATGCTCCTTGCAGGTTGCAGTTTGTTAATCTTCTCATTTTGATAAATTGAACTTCATGGGTGAAAAGCTTCGATTCTTTTGTTGCTTCATGCTGACCCAATTCTTCAAAACAACTGCACTAATTATCTTTCAGCTTAACCAACACAGAAGTTAACAGTTAAGATTTTACCGGCTGTTGCTTCTGAAATCGACATTACACCATTTACCCGTTCTGAAATCCTGGAAGAGTTAGAATGAACGAAGAGTTTTCCCTTATTATAGTTAAAGATTAGGATTTTCTGGTGTGGGCGAATTTTGTTCCTTGTAGATATAGTAATTTGCTTTATTTGAGTGGATTCACTGGAAAAATGTTAATTAAGTTGTAATATAAACTTTCTGTGAACAAACTTTGCAGGAAACCTCAGGGTGTTTCCTTTTTCCACTTGGATGTATTCTTTCTGTTTTAGTGTTACTCTTTGATGTTTCCACTGGCCTTAGCATCTCCATTTATTTTGTTCTTTTAACTAATTTTTCAGCCATTGCACGCACTGTTGGACATTTGTCCAAAAGTGCTGAGGTCATGAAGCTAGTCAATAATCTTATGAAGGCTCCAGAAGTGGCTGTCACTATGCAAGAATTCAGTAAAGAAATGACTAAGGTAATTTTTACCTCTTTCCGGCAATAAAGAGAGAAACATTTTCCTTTTTCTCAAGGCAGAATGGTATGTTACTGTGTTGAGCCTTCATTTAAATGATATTCTGTGTTGACGTTTGTCAAGGAGGACGCACAGGGAAGAATGTATTGTAGAGGAAGGACTGCAATAATTTCTTTGAAAATGCTCTGTTGGCAAATATGTTACTACACTATTTTCAGTTTTATCTCTTTTTAAATCGAAAATATGCTAAAAAAGCCCTCTTCCTTTTCTGTCGTAAAACAAATGGGTTCTTAGGCTGTTAAGCTGTAGCCCTCAGCCCCTCAAATCATCATGAAGTTATAAGAACATTGAGCATGCGATATGTATATTCTGAATATATCAGTCGAATGATGCCTATTGTTCACTGTTTAATTTTTCACCAGTTCAATAAAAAATATTGAAAAAATGTTTATGTGAGGCCATTAGGGATAAAATTTTATTTCGTCGAGTTACCGTGACATTGATACTAATCTGAAATATGAAGTTATGTAATTCATCCAGTGGACGGAAATTCACTGTTTCCTTTATCTCCTTGTGCACGGGTCAACAATACGAGAGCAGCCAAGCTTTTGCTAATTATGAGAGACAATACGATCTAGTAGAACAAAATATTATGGTATAGAATGAAACACTTTTATCATTTTATCTGCCCCAATTGTGATCTTTCTTTTTTCTTCCCTTAGCTAAAACAGTTAGTGATAGAATAGGTCTGGATCTTTGTTATTCAGGTTAGTAAAGTAGTCAGCTATCTTAATCTTAGAAGACTGCACATGAATACATCATATCCTAAATTTGAAGACCTGATTGCTTAATCTTTCAAGTGAAGATCTACGAGAAGTTCATCTTATCAGATGAAGTGTGTCTAGTGTTTCTTGGTATTTAGATTAACATACTACTTATAAATTGGAATTACAAAGTATTAGAATGCTTGAAAATTTATCTGTCTTTGACCCGCATTAAGAAGATATCCTATCTTCACTGTCTGATTAAAGTGTGTTGCATTTTCCTTTCATAAGTAATTTTGGATGAAACTTGATCTACATGTAGCACTTGATTTTCCTTGTTTATTTTGCATTAAGAAGAATCTTTCCCATTTTTCGTTCAATAATCCCCTGATTGGAAACCTCCTCAGGGAACGCATTTTGGGGGAATAACGGAATAAGTAATTATTTTATGTAACAAGACCTTTCATTTTCTCCCGACTTTCCTTTTTTTGCTGTTGTGACTCAAAGTGGCATTGGTGTCCCTTTTTGTTCATTACAGGCGGGTGTTATTGAAGAGGTGGTGAATGATGCTCTGGACGACGCACTGGATTCAGAAGACATCGAAGAGGAAACTGAAGAAGAAATCGACAAGGTCTTAACTGCAATTGCTGGCGAAACTGCTGCACAACTTCCTGAAGCAATCAGGAAGGAGAAATTAAAGCAACCCGCACACACTGTTGAAGATGCAGAGGTACACTTGAAACCCGTTATGGAATTATATTCTATTCGTCCCTTTTTTCGCACCTTACACTGTGCCATTGATTTGAAACTGCAGGAGCCTGTTGATGATGAAGAGGAGATGGAAGAAATAAGGGCCCGTCTAGCCCGAGTTCGATCATAAGCCATGGTATTAACATTGTGAAAGATCAGATGCTAGTGTTATACACTACACCTTAATTATCTCTCTATATTTGGATCACAGAATGTGGAATTTGTTCTGTATTTTGTGAAGAAGCTCTAATATGTTAAAAAACCTTCCTGTAATATAATGCAATTATCAATATCATTTTGCAAATTTACATTTTTACACACTGTATTTTAGTTAGAGGTAACAAAATGCATATTTTGCAATAAAAATGAAAATGTTTACAAATTTGTCATTATACATAACTAAACATGCAAAAATATCCTTAATGAAAATAATATTATGTAACACTTTACATACTGATTTTATCTTCAAAATTTTAATTTTTATTACTATTTCATAATTATTTGTATCTCCTACATCTCTCCATTTCATAAATTACTTTTGCATCAATTCAAGTATTTTGGTTTTTGCCCCAGTTGACTAAAATATTAACATTATAATTTTTTAATTTCATTTGAACTATAATTTGTGTGTTTTTTTTATCAACAATATTTATATTTGTATTCGCTTTTTAAAATTATCTCGTAAAAAAGAGAAAGAACACAAAAAACATAAACTAAAAAAATATGAATCTATAACCTCAACTTAAAACGAAAAGAAATTCATTTTAAGCTGCAAGATAATAAATCTGGATCATATATTTTTTTATTTGATATTATTAATTTTTTATTGATTGACATATGACAATTTAGATAAAAATCAATTTTTTTTTTTTTGCAGATTTTGATAAAAAATAATGGAATGTGTGGTTAAAAAGTTGTGATCCCGTACAAAGTATGATTAAAATTAATTATCAAATTTAACTTAGATTTTAGACAATTTTTTTTAACTGAATAAAAAGTGGGCCAATGATAACAACTTGGGGAAAAAAAATAATCTTATTTTCTTGTATTTTCCATCACTATTAATTTATTAAAATTTATTTTCTATTTTTTAGTAGTAATTTAAAGAAAATGAAAATCATAAATTTTGTAAACAATCTCTGCCATCTTTTTTCCTAGTTTCTTCTCATATACTGTACAACTTCTCACATTCTCTATGTTTTCATAATATATCATGTTAAGTCGATTAAAATAAATATATTTTTAACTCGATTAAAATAAAATTTGTAAGTGTTAATTTCGTGTGTTTGGTTTTTAGGGAGAGGTAGAGGAGAGGTACCAATCTTTAAATCATTGATATTAATTATGAAAATAACTAGACTGATAGCAAAAATCAAAATCGAAAAACATAGTGAGAGGTTTTGGTATCTATCATATAGATTGAACCAGGGGCGGACCCACATGGTGTCATGTAGGGTCAAATGACCCCACAGTTTTTTTTTTTTTTTTGAGTTTTTTTTTTTAACCTAACACTAAACCCATTTGAAAACCCTCCAACTCAGTAGCCCATTTGCTGAAACCCAAACCCAATTTGTTATTTAGATAATTAAACCCAATTCCCAAACCCTATGAGATAGACCTGTGTACGGGGCTGATTTTCTTCCAAGACCAAGCAGAATTCGCCCAAGTCCCTTACCGAAACGGCGAAACCGTTTACCGTCGACGCCGAAGCCGCCCTTTTCTTCTTCAATCAGTCCACCATCCGCCGAAGGCCCGAAGTCCGCCATTCTTTAGGTGTGTTATCAATTCTCTATGCCAATTTCATGATTTTCATCCAATTGTTTTAACAGCAAATCTGCAAATCGTTTATGGATAGCAAATTGGTATGCAGTATGCTTGCTTATATTTAACTATCAGCTTGAAAATTGATGACTTTAAGGACTTGATTTTTGAAATGGGAAGTGAAGGGGGTATCATAGTGAATATAGATATTCAATTTTGGGATATATCGATCCACCTAATCAATCTACTATGAACAAAAATCAAGAAAAGAAACAGGAATCCATGATAGAAATCATTATAAACGAATATATAGAGGATACAAGATATGGAAAGAAAAAGATTGAACATTGGAATAAGAACAAACACCATAAATCTTGCCTAAATCAAAATCTTGTATGCTGAAATTCTCCTGTGGTGCTCTAAATGCAAAGCTCTTAGATCTCTGAGGATTATTGCTATTGTCTGAAGATGGACCATTATTCTGAATACTCAGCTTTGAATCAAATTCCTTCTCCATTTTATCAACAGCCCCTCATTTTATTTTAGCTGTATTGAATTTGTTTTTTAACAGGCATGGAGAAATATTTTAAACGAAAATCCGTATGTTCGAGTGTGGAGGAAAATATTGTTGAAACGAGTGTTCAAAAAGAAAAAGATGGTCGGGAAGAATCAGATAATGGGAGAAAAAGAGATGTTCAAGATAAAATTGATTTAGCACAATTGCCTTCGGATCCTGGATTAAGAATTCCAATTGTGAGTTATAATGTTAATGTGCAGGATGAAATTAGAAGAGCATATGTACAAAGGAGATCAATGATTAAGTGATAGTTTGGTTGCATATATTGAAAACGATGTACTTAACAATATTGATAACGATGTAATTATACGATATTTTCAGAGTATGAAAACGCGTAGGCTACAACTGTAATAGCGTATTGACTTATTTTCGTTAATGACATGTAGTTCTAAATATTTTTGAATTCTCATTTTTGACCCCTCAAGACAAATGGTCTGGATCCGCACCTGGACTGAACAATTGTCATACTAGGAGAATTACACTTCTAGTTTTACATAAATTATTTAGCCTATATTTAGTAGGGATTATAATAACTTTTTTAGTAAATTTTTATAAAAATTGAAGAATTATGTCAGTGAAAACTTGTGAATTTATTGTTAAAATTAATTATTAACTTAAATTAAAATTTTGATTTTATTTTTCACCAAACAGGAGCTTAGCATCAATTTTGACAATGCTAGTACAAATAATTGACGTCATTAACATGTTACCTAAAACAACGTGAATGTAATCTATCGATATTTTAAACATTGGGTAATTAGTACATAACGTCCACACCTTTTATTGTTATTGTGGAAAACGTCCATACCTTTCATTTTTTTTTTGGCATTTTTCACCTTTCATTGTGCAAAATGTCATTTTCACATATTTTCTCAATTAAAAATTATGAAATGACGAATATACACATCTCTTTAAATAAAACAAAAACAAAAAGAAAAAAACTAATTGCAACCACATTCTCAATTTTTTTTAAAAAGCGCAAATAAGTCACAAATAAATTATTAAAAAAGTAATTAGTACATAATGTCCATATATTTCATTGTTATTGCGAAAAACGTCCATATCTTTCATTTTTTTGACATTTTCACCATTAATTATACATTTGATTGCGCAAACCACCATTTTTATCAATTTTCTCAATAAAAAACTGTAAAATAACGAATAAAACCTCCTATTTAAATAAAAAGCTAAATAATTAATTGTAATCATATTCCCAATTTTTTAAAAAAGTGCAAACAAGTCCCCAATAAATTATTTAAAAAATTAATTTTTTAAAAAAGTGAAAATGAGTCCCAATTAAATTTATTTAAAAATTTAAAAATGCAAACGAGTCCCAAATAAATTATTAAAGAATTAAAAAAAAAATATTTTTTTATTTAAATAGGAGGGTATATTTATTATTTCACAGTTAATGTTCGAGTGTGGAGGAAAATATTGTTGAAACGGGTGTTCAAAAAGAAAAAGATGGTTGGGAAGAATCAGATAATGGGAGAAAAAGAGATGTTCAAGATAAAATTGATTTAGCACAATTGCCTTCGGATCCTGGATTAAGAATTCCAATTGTGAGTTATAATGTTAATGTGCAGGATGAAATTAGAAGAGCATATGTACAAAGGAGATCAATGATTAAGTGATAGTTTGGTTGCATATATGGAAAACGATGTACTTAACAATATTGATAACGATGTAATTATACGACGTTTGCAGAGTATAAACAATATTGATAACGATGTAATTATACGACGTTTTCAGAGTATGAAAACGCGTAGGTTACAGCTGTAATAGCGTATTGACTTATTTTCGTTAATGATATGTGGTTCTAAATATTTTTGAATTCTCATTTTTGACTCCACAAGACAAATGGTTTGGATCCGCCCCCGGACTGAAAAATTGTCATACTAGGAGAATTACACTTCTAGTTTTACATAAATTATTTAGCCTATATTTAGTAGGGATTATAATAATTTTTTTAGTAAATTTTGATAAAAATTGAAGAATTATGTCATTGAAAACTTGTGAACTTATTGTTAAAATTAATTATTAACTTAAATTAAAATTTTGATTTTATTCTTCACCAAACAGGAGCTTAGCATCAATTTTGACAATGTTAGTACAAATAATTGACGTCATTAACATGTTACCTAAAACAACGTGAATGTAATCTATCGATATTTTAAACATTGGGTAATTAGTACATAACATCCACACCTTTCATTGTTATTGTGGAAAACGTCCATACCTTTCATTTTTCTTTTGGCATTTTTCACCTTTCATTGTGCAAAATATCATTTTCACATATTTTCTCAATTAAAAATTATGAAATGACGAATATACCAATCTCTTTAAATAAAACAAAAACAAAAAGAAAAAAACTAATTGCAACCACATTCTCAATTTTTTTTTTAAAAAGCGCAAATAAGTCACAAATAAATTATTAAAAAATTAATTAGTACATAATGTCCATATATTTCATCGTTATTGCGAAAAACGTCCATATCTTTCATTTTTTGACATTTCCACCATTAATTATACATTTGATTGCGCAAACCACTATTTTTATCAATTTTCTCAATAAAAAATTGTAAAATAACGAATATAACCTCCTATTTAAATAAAAAGCTAAATAATTAATTGTAATCATATTCCCAATTTTTTAAAAAAGTGCAAACAAGTCCCCAATAAATTATTTAAAAAATTAATTTTTAAAAAAAGTGAAAATGAGTCCCAATTAAATTTATTTAAAAATTTAAAAATGCAAATGAGTCCCAAATAAATTATTAAAGAATTAAAAAAAAATATTTTTTTATTTAAATAGGAGGGTATATTTATTATTTCACAGTTCTTTATTGAAAAATTAGATGAAATAGATGGAAATGATGGTTTGCACAATCAAATGTATAATTAAGAGTGAAAATGAAAAAAAAAAAAAAAAAGGTATGAACGTTTTTTGCAAAAACGGTGAAAGATATTGACATTATGTACTAATTACCCTTTTAATAATTTACTTGTACTTATTTGTGTTTTTTTAAAAAAATTGAGAATGTGATTGCAACTAGATTTTTTCTTTTTCTTTTTTAATTTAAAGAGGGGTATATTTGTCATTTCATAATTTTTAATTAAGGAAATATGTGAAAATGACATTTTGCACAATGAAATGTGGAAATAAGGGTAAAAATGCCAAAAAATGAAAGGTATGAACGTTTTCCACAATAACAATGAAAGATGGGGATGTTATGTGATAATTGCCCTTTAAACATTCTTTTTCTTTTTTAATTTAAAGAGGGGTATATTTGTCATTTCATAATTTTTAATTAAGGAAATATGTGAAAATGACATTTTGCACAATGAAATGTGGAAATAAGGGTGAAATGCTAAAAAATGAAAGGTATGAACGTTTTCCACAATAACAATGAAAGATTTGAATTAGTTTCCAATTTTTATAGTAGAACTAATTATTCAAATCCAATTCTTATATAAATTGAGATAATATCAGAGACACCTCCTCAAATTTACGACAACATCAAAACTCCCTCACGTTTAAAAATATCAAGCTAATTTCTTTTATTTCTAGTTTTAAGTATCACGTACACTCCTGACCACTTTTTGAGATATATCATTTAAAATGAGTTTGATATTAAGTAAAAGGCACTCGTGAAGAAAAAAAGTGAAACTTTCTAGTTTCTACAATTAATTTTTTACATATAAACTTTTTACCCCGTCATTATTTTTTATTTATTTATAAGTAGTATCTTTTAAACAAAAATAATAATACATGTACAAGTTGTACATACATGAATTACTTCCTAAATTAATAGATATTAACATAAATTAATAAAAAACAAGGAACGTTTTCTAAGTGGTACTAGAATTGGCTAAATCAACAAACTGACGTCCAACTAAAATACCGTTATACGGTGGATCGATAGTGGTACATGTACTTTCACATGGAGGATATGCTCTGCAATGTGGCTATTACAAGGGAAATTCTTGAAAGGTGGATGTCGAACCATCTTGATCAGCTAGGCTAGCTTTCGTATATGAAGTTTGAGTTGAGGTGCATTGAGGTCGAGAGGGTGAGAGGGATTTTTGAACAGTTTATTGACTGTCATCCGAAGATTGGCGCTTGGATTAGGTATGCTAAGCCCCCGTTTGGTAGAAATTACAATCATATTTTTAGTAGATTTTGATAAAAGTTGATGAAATGTGTGGTTAAAAAATTGCGAGTCTCATGAAATGTGTAGTTAAAATTAATTGATGACTTTGACTAAAGATTTCAATTGGATTTTAATCCAAACCAAACAGAGCTAAGTTTGAGATTAAAAATGGAGTTATGAGCACGATGACTAGGGATGGCAACAGAAAGGATTGATGTCGGAGCGATCATTCATGTCTTTAGTCTTGTCGAGTATTTGTCTCCTTGTCATGTTCCCATACGGTTAAGGCAAGATGGGCTGGGGCGGGACCGGTCCCTTTCCTCGTTTACCGTCCCATTTATTTTTTAATTTTTTTGCTTTTGTTTTTTAATGTATTTAGTTGATGGAAGCCATTACTTTTTTTAAATTGTAGAAAATTCATCTTTTCTCAAAAAATGTTGATGTTTATTATCTTTTTGTGTTATAAAATAATTATATTTTGAAATGAACTTTAAACGGGACGTGTAACGTGGCAAGAACCATGTTCTCCGTACCCTTCTCACCCCCATCCCACGTATTCGATTAGGCAGATAATTTTTGTATCATTCGAGGTGGGGTTGCGTATAGTGTGTATAACGATTTTTTTGCCATCCCTAATGATGAGGAGGCTGAGGAGTTATTTGTGCGTTGGCCGAGTTTGAAAAGAAACACAAGGAATCGGGAAGCAATACGGTAATAGAAAAGAAACCGAGTATGCTATATAGATTTAATGCACATACATTGCGTCTTACCAAATGTGTAGATAAGAAGTGAATGTGTATATTAAAAATGTTTGACCAACTGAAAGTATAGTTTTTATTTGTAATAGGAAATAAGATTATGAATTTTATTTTCTAATTACAAAGAATTTTCATATTCTGTGTAATCTACTAAGAAGTTATATCAATTTAAAGTTTAGTTTTTATTTGTAATAAGAAATAAGATTATGAATTTTATTTTCTAATTACAAAGAAATTTTCAAATTCTGTGTAATCTACTAAGAAGTTATATCATTTTATCCTACTAGTGACAAATTCATCAAAATCCAACAAATCCATTAGAATCAATAAAAATGAAATTTAAAATCTTATATCAATTCATCCTGATTGTAAAAAATTTATCAAAATCCAAAAAAATCCATTAAAATTAAATTTAAAATATTATGAATTCTGTTAAATTCTATTCAAATTCATGAAGTCCATGAGAATCTATAAATTTTAAGAAATCTATTTAAGTCGCCATCCTTAGTTTCATTTTCAGAATCATTCTTGCAACAAAGAAAATGGCAATTTTTCATTTCTTTTTCCCTCTATTTTTCCTTCTCCCTTTCCTTTGCACATTTTCAGTTGCAGAAACTATGGAATTCCCAAAAGGACAAGCAGAAAAGATGATCAGGGGATTGAACTTGTTTCCTGAACTTGATGTGAACATTTTTGAAGATGATCCGGCATTGACAGCACCAAAAATAGTCGAGAAAAGTATACGATTGCCCGGATTATTTGCTCCCGGAACCAGTGTTCAAGACTTGGGACACAAGGCTGGATATTATCAACTTCCTCACACCAAAAGTGCAAGGTATAACATTTTCGAAAATCCCCATTACAAAAAATCGATTCATGCATCTGTATCTGTTCTTCAGGTTTTGGTATCTTTTCTTGCAGTTTACCTGATAAGGTGAACCATTGCATGTCCAATACTGAATTCTTAACAGATTACAGCCAAAAAAGAAAAAAATAATTTTGGCAAACATCGACAAGTGAATCCTATTAGTCCACAAGCGCCGTGAAGAGCAACAAAAGTCGACTTAAAAACTTGAAATACTTCATTATCCCTGATTATCTCATGTCATTTTCAATGATTTCATGAATAAATTCAGGATTTTCATCCAAGTCTTATTCATATTTGCTTTACGAGAGAAACCTCTGACAAACTGCTTCAAATATTGTTGCAGGATGTTCTATTTTTTCTTTGAATCAAGAAACGAGCCGAGTACCGACCCTGTTTTTGTATGGTTACATGGAGGACCCGGATGCAGCACATCGGTGCCCCTGTTTTATGAAAGCGGCCCTTTCCACATAACAAACAACTTGTCTCTTGTATGGAATGATTTTGGTTGGGATAAGGTACTCTCATTTTCCTCAATTCTCAATAATAATTTTTCCGTCTTAAAGGTGAGTCAATGACTCGACAGGGAAGGGCTTGGATGAAAATTTCTCTTCCTGTTGAGTAGTAGTCCAAGTCGAGGGGGGTAATCAGAAAATAAAGAACCCCCACCAACGGAAATATACATATGTTCTTGCAATTCTGTACTCTTTTTTTCTATCTGTTCCTATGTCTATCTGGGAAGAAAAGATTCATTTGTGCTGCGCATTTCATATATTTTCATGAATGATATGATACGACAGGTCTCAAACATTATATATGTCGACCAACCAACTGGAACAGGTTTCAGTTATACTTCTGACATAGCTGACATACGAAGAGATTCTGTGGGAGCTGCCAATGATTTCTATGACTTCATGCAGGTAAGTTTCCTACTCCAGGCAGCTACGGGACAGAACTAGACAAGATTTTAATTTATTTTTCATCTAACATGGCCAAAATTATACACTTGTCCAAAATCATAATCTAGCTTACGCTGAACTAAAATATTCATAAAATGTTAGGCATTTTTCAAGGCGCACCCTCAATATGCATGGAATGATTTTTACATCACTGGAGAATCATATGCCGGGCACTATATTCCAGCTTTTGCTGATCGGATACAACGGGGAAACGATAATAAAGAAGGGATTCATATAAACATGAAAGTGAGCCTTGAATTTCATCTCTATTGTTAATTAATCTCATAGTTTTCCTTGTTTAATTATGCAACTTACCAATGCTTAAACAGGGATTATCTATTGGTAATGGATTGACAGATCCGGAGATCCAGTACAAAGCATATACTGATTATGCTTTAGACATGAAATTGATCAACAAATCTGATTATGACAGCCTGAGCCAGTCAATCCCCGGATGTGTACAGGCAATAAAACTCTGTGGTAATTCTTAATCCTAAATCCGTCCCTTCTGACATTTACTTCTGACGTTGGTCGTGGAAAGTCTGCCTAATTTATAAGCATATTCAAACCTTCCGCAAGATGTTCTCACTTGGATTCTGATAAAAAGTTCATTGGCAGGCAATAGCAGTGGTCCATCAGAAGCTTGCGCCAAGGCTTTCTCTGACTGCACCGCCATTTACAATAAGATAGTTAAAATATCTGGAAATATAAATGTAAGAAAACACATTATTCAGTCATCTAATTAGACAGAAGATTAAACTTATTAACCATATGGTTTTATCGTTTATTGTAGTTCTTTGATATTCGAAAACCGTGTGTGGGTTCTACGTGCTACAACTTCTCGAACGTTGAAAATTTCTTGAACCAGAAGTCAGTTAGAGAAGCACTTGGTGTTGGAGATAAACAATTTGTTTTATGTAATCTTACTGTGTATGAATCAATGAAAGTGGATTGGATGAGGAATTACGAAGTTGATATACCTGCACTACTAGAGAATGGAGTCAAGTTACTTGTATATGCTGGGGAGTATGATCTTATTTGCAACTGGCTTGGTAAGATTTTTCGTCTTCAACTCAGCTTATATAAATCTTTTTCTTAACTGAATTCTGAGGGATATAGTCCAATGTACTACCAAAAGTCTGTGTGTGCTTTGCATATATTCTGATTTCTTTTTCTGTTCAGGGTCTGGTTATAAAAGTTTCCATTAAATTTGGGGTTGGCTTCGTACTATAAAATTTGATGAAGTTTTACACTACCTTCCACCTACCACAACCCTCCCCATATATGATGCAGAAACAAGGAATTCAAGCGAAAACCTTAAGAACGGGAATTTTGAAATCCACCAAATTAAGAAAAATTAAACTCGCGAATTTTATTATTGAAAGATAATAAGAAAACTCTTTATTTATAAGGGTTTATATGAAAACCTAGTTTAAAATGACTAAAAATTAATAAAAACCTAGTTTAAACAAACTAAAATTAAAAAAGAATTTGAATTAAACTAAATGACAAAAATAAAAACTTTAAAAATTAGTTTTCGAGTTCTAAACGAACTCGGATAGCCGAAATCCATCCTACGTCATGGCATAGCTATATGTATTACTCGTATCGTCGTCCTCCTTCCGAATGCTATTATAAGCCCAAACTGGAATTTCAATGTTCTCTCTGCACTATTACTTTTTTTCCCATTTTGATCAAATTCTTCAACAATATGTTTTACATCAATATACTTGAGACCTACTATGAAAATATATGCAATATTTTTAATGTAACTGCTATAACTGTGTTTTATTATTGTCAGGAAACTCGAGATGGGTCGATGCTATGGTATGGTCGGGACAGAAAGACTTTGTATCGGCTCCTTCTGCTCCATTTATTGTAGATGGAGTGGAGGCAGGATTAAAGAAAAGCCATGGACTTCTTACTTTCCTTAAGGTCCATAATGCTGGCCACATGGTTCCTATGGATCAACCAAAAGCATCACTAGAAATGATAAAGAGGTGGATGCAAGGCATACCTCTGTAAAGAACAGAGCACAAATCCCTTTATTGTAATGATTTTTTAATTTTGTCTTAATATAAGTTTCCTCAATTTACCGAGGGGCAGAGGGATTGGTCTAGAAAGATCTATTGTTCTTATTTTAGAATTATGACTGTGATCACTATTGGGATAAAATGTTTTGATTAATCACATGATGAGGTCCTATTATTTATTCGTATCCTTAAAACTTACAAAACATTTCTTAATCTCTTACTTTCGACATAAAATATACCAAATCCTTGTGCAACAACAGAAGCATACCACAGAAAGGAAAGCAGGCTAAGTTCACTTAGCCCGGAGCACCTTCATTTTCCCGGGTGAAATCTAGATCTTTTCATTCAAAATGACTGTAGGCAGCAATCTTCTGATACCTGAAGTTGCCACCCCCTCTTCCGGTCCAGATTGATCGCCATCATTCCCACTGTGAAGTCGAAGTTCTCCTTAATAAGCTCCTGTATATCCTTAACCGACAACTTCCTTGTTCCATATTGTCCACGAATACGGATAACAATTCTGGCATACCGATTGTAAATGGACGGTACAACGACATGCAAGCCCAAAGGCCACCATGCTCTTCGCTGCTTGCCTGGAAATATAGGCTCCACATTGATGAACCTTGGTTGGATCCTCTCATGAAAATGGACCACCTCCATGCGCGCCGCAGACACCATAAGTGTCGACAATAATCTTCCTACCAGTCAATCTCGCATCCTCTTGAGGGCCTCCATGTACAAACAGAGGGGTTGAAAAGAATATCGTCTTTTCATCAAGATATTTCAACGTAATTACAGCTCAGGGGTTTCGTCCGTGGCATAGCCGAACACGTGACCTGATCTCTGGCTCCAATCTCTTCGGGTTTTTCGTTAGGTGACAATTGACAACCTTAGCAATCTCAGGGCTCTGTTATTCGATGTTTAGCAGAACTTTGTAATCATCAGCATCAAAGTCTGACTACAGGCAACGAATATCCAATTTATTTGCGCATGTCGCGAGCAATTTTCTCATAGTCCACATTAGCCTTGGTTGTGATATCGCCTATGACTGTAACATTTCGGGTTTTCTACGTCTCACAATCAACATTACTTTTAGGATCTTGTTCCAAACATGCATAAGGTAAAAAAAAAAAAGAGTAATGCTATTCACAGTCTATGTGGCGTTAATGTGGCATTAAATGATAGGATTAACCTATCATTTAAAGCCACATATAATATGTTTTCATCTCTACTGGGGATGAATAACATTACTCAAAAAAAACAAGGAAAAAAAAAAAGAAACATTGTAAAATTTTCTTAATACACCCTTGTATTTAGGGTGTATTTACAATTTGCATACCACATTTTGCAAAATTTACATTTTACACACAGTATTTTAGTTAGAGGTAACAAAATGCATATTTTATGAAATGTATGGTTGAAAAATTGTGGGTCTCATGAAATGTGTGGTTAAAATTAATTGATGACTTTGACTAAAGATTTTAATTGGATTTTAATCCAAACCAAATAGGGGCTAAGTTTGAGATTAAAAATGGAGTTGTTATGAGCACGATGACTAGGGATGACAACAGAAAGGATTGACGTCGTAGTGATCATTCATGTCTTCAGTCTCGTCGGGTATTTGTCTCCTTGTCATGTTCCCATACGGTCAAGGCAAGATGGGGCAGGGCGGGAAAGATCCCTTTCCTCGTTTACCGACCCATTAATTTTTTAATGTATTTAGTTGATGTAAGCCATTACTTTTTTTAAATTGTAGACAAATTCATCTTTTCTCAAAAAATGTTGATGTTTATTTTCGTTTTATGTTATAAAAAAAATTATATTTTGAAATGAACTTTAAACGGGACGGGTAACGTGGCAAGAACCATGTTCTCCGTACCCTTCTCACCCCATTCCATGTATTCGATCAGGCAGAGAATTTTCGTATCGTTCGAGGTGGGGTCGTATATAGTGTGTATAACGATTTTTTTGCCATCCCTAATGATGAGGAGGCAGAGGTGTTATTTGTGCGTTGGCCGAGTTGGAAAAGAAACGCAAGAAATCGGGAAGCAATACGGTAATAGAAAAGAAATCGAGTATGCTATATAGATTTAATGCACATACATTATATGCATTTAAATTTGTGAGTATAATGTAAATTCATTTCTGGCTTGTTAAATTATAATTTAAGCACTATGTCTTATCGAATGTGCAGATAATAAATGTTTGACCGACTTAAAGTATAGTTTTTATTTGTAATAAGAAATAAGATTATGAATTTTATTTTCTAATTACAAAGAAATTTTCAAATTCTGTGTAATCTACTAAGAAGTTATATCATTTTA